TGTGTGTGTGTGTGTGTGTGTGTGTGTGTGTGTTCCATTCTGCCCACACCTTGACAAGTGCTTGTTATGTTCAGTTTGTTTCTTGAACTTTGCTCCTCACGCGGAGGAAGCCTGGAGGTGCTGTTAGACCTGAGGCGATAACTGCACGGTTGTCGGTTCAAGCACATGAGCTGCTCCTTGAGAGAAAGTGGAGGCTGTTTGTTCTCATAAAGGTTTATCTGGAAAGCCCCGCCTGCGAGGGCAGGGGGTTGAGGTGAGATGAGAGCCCCTTTTGTGGTTTGCATTTCTAATGGCTGATGACAGAGCCCGGGTGGGTGCGTAGGTAGTGGGTGACATGCGGGGCTGCTACTCTGTGGGGAAAGAAGACGTTTTCTGCTTTCTTAAAGACCTCCGGCCTCAGAAAAGCCAAAGGGGCATTTCTACTCATTCCTGGAGGCTCACTCTGAGTCAGGGTCGACCTGGTGGTGCTTGGGTTCTAGTGACTCATGCGTGTGAGCATTTCTTCATGTGTTTGTTGCCCATGTGTCCTCTGCCCAGTTCAAAATGGAATTCTCTTTTTTCTTGTTAAGGTGTGGACGTTTTCTGTAAGTTTTAGAACTCAGTTCCTTGTCCGCTGTTACGTTGTTGCTAAAAGCACTTTGCCCAGCCTGTGGGGCCTTTGTTTATTGTGTGGTGAACTTTCATTAAAGGGTCGGATTTTCAGGAGAGCGCAGTCCTTTGCCTGCCCTCTGCCGGCCCTGGGTTTCCAGTTTTGTGTGATCGTGTATGTACGCCATCCGTGCGTTAGGGCCCTGCGTTTGCCCCTGGTTTTCCATCGACCATCGTTACAGTTCTAGCCTTTACATGTAGAGCTGAGTTTGCCTTTGTATATGGTGTGAGATACAAGCTCAGTTTCGTCTTTCTGCCCCTGGGCATCCACTTTTCCTAGCACCATTTGTTAGCCCGCTTCCAGGTTTCGTGTAGTTCAGCACTTTGTCAAAGTCAGTTGTCTGGGGTGCCATTTATGACCTCCTGCTAATGGTCCCCCTCATCCAGATGATGTGTCTCTGTCCTGTTTGAAGCTTACTAAATGTTCTCCATGTATCTATATCTATCTATCTGCCAATCCGAATATCCGCTGATGCACCTAATTTGACCACAAAAGCGGCATTAAAAATGTGCTGAAACACTCGGCTTAGCCTTGAGTGTGTGTGTGTGTGTGTGTGTGTGTGTGTGTGTGTGTGTGTCATTGTCTGTACGTGGGTGGTTTTAATTCTGGGTTCTCGGTTCTGTTCTATTGGTCTACACGCCTGTCATTGTACCAGAACCATGGTACATGGTTTGCTACCATGACTGTGTAAGTAGGTTTTGAGATCAGAAAATGTGAAGTCTCTTATTTTGTTATTTTTTCGGTCAGTACTATCTTGTTTACTAGCATCAATGACGAATAGATTCTTCATCTCTAAAGAGTGGTGTTGGAATCTGCATCAGGATGGTGTGATAGCTGTAGGTCACTTTGGGCAGGATTTGTGTTTTCGCACTGAGGTCTACCTATCCAGGAGCATGTGTTGTCTTCCACTTACGTAGGTCTGTTTCTCGTGGTGGTGTTGTGCAGCTTTCTTTGTATGGGTCCTTTGTTTCTCTGGTTATATTTATTTCTAAGTATTTCGTCTTTTGGGTGGCTCTTCTAAATGATACTGTGTTTCTGATTTCCTTTTCAGAATTCCCTTTGTTGGTGTAATGGAATCCAACTGATTTTCCTGTATTGGTTTTGTGCCTTGCCACGTTGCTGAATCTCTCAATTAGTTTGATAATTTTCTTGCTGAATCTTTGGGATTTTCTATGTATAGATCATATCACTTGCAAGTAGAGCAGCGGTTCTCCACCTTCCTAATGCCGTGACCCTTTAATACAGTTCCTCATGTTGTGGTGACCCCTCCAACCATGAAATTATTTTAATTGCTACTTCATAACTGTAATGAATTGGTGACCCCTGTGAAAGGGTCATTCATTTGACCCCCAAAGGGGTTGCGACCCACAGGTTGAGAACCGCTAAAGTAGAGATTTTTTTTTTACTTCTTCCACGTCCATCAAGTTGATTCCAATTTGTAGCAAACTTATATAGGTTTCCCAGGCTGTAAATCATCCCTGGAGCAAATAGCGTCATCTCACTCCCTGAGAACAGCTGGTGGGTTTGAACCACCAACCGTGAAGTTCACAATCCATTGCTTACCCAAGTGCACCATCAGGGACTTTTCCTTTTCTTGCATTACAGCTCTGGCTAAGACTTTCAGCACAACATCGAATAAGAAGTCGATAAGGGCATCCTTGCCTGGTTCCTGTTCACCAGGGAACGCTTTCCGTTTCTCTCCATTGGAAACAGGCTGGCCGCTGTTTCCATAAGCACGCCCTTGGAGGAGTTTTCCTTCGATTCCTGTTTTGTTGAGTGTTTCTTTCATCAGGAGCGGGTATTGTACTTTGCTTAATACCTTTCTGTGTTGATTCATAGGACGCTGTGCTTCATTTTCTTGGCTCTGTTTGTGTGGTGGATTCCATTGATTGCTTTTCTAATGCTGAACCATCCTTGCATACCAGGCATGAATCTCACTTGGCCGTGATGCATTATTTTTTGTAGTATATGCTGTTAGATTCCTTTCTGTGTCTGTTCATGCGGTGTCCCCGTCGGTCATTTTTCTCGTCTGGTGGCCTGGCTTTCGTATCAGGCCTGTGCCGGCCCCACAGAGTGAATTGCGGCGTATGCTCTAGAATGGTTGGAGCCGATTTGGTGTCCCTTCCCTCTGAGTGTTTGGTAGACTTCTCCAGGGAGGCAGTGTGGGCTGAGAGGTTCTTGTTTTTATGATGTGCTCAGTTTCTTGTTTCATAAGATATGGGTCTATTCAAATTGTCTACCTCTATTTTTGTTAGTTTTGGGAGGTAGTGTGTTTCTAGAAATGTATCCCTTTTTTAGTAAGGTTTTCAAATTTTTTGGGGTACATTTTTTCATAATAATCTCTTATCCTTTGATCTCAGTTGATTCTATTGTAATGTCACCCATCTCGTTTCTTATTGTGGCACTATGCATCTTCTCCCCACCCCACCCCCCCTTCCTCAGTTTGACCAGCGTTTGCCAATTTTATTGTTGAGCCTCTGAAAGAACCAGCTTCTGGGTTGCTCATTCTTTCTGTTTCGCTTCTGCCCTGATCTTTAGTATTTCCTTTCTTCTGTCCATTGTGGACTTCCTCTGTGGTTCCTTTTGTACTTGTTCGAGTTAATGGGGTAAACCATGGATTGGGGCCCTTCCTTTCCTTCCTTCCTTTTTTTTGGTTTAATTTTTAAAATCGTTTTATTAGGGGCTCATACAACTCTTATCACAACCCATATGTACATCAATTGTGTAAAGCACATTTGTACATTCATGGTCCTCATCATTCTCAAAACATTTGCTCTCCAACTAAGCCCCTGGTGTCAGCTCCTCATTTTCCCCCTCCCTCCCCACTTTCCCCTCCCTCATGAACCCTTGATAACTTATAGATTATTATTTTGTCATATCTTGCCCTGTCCGATGTCTCCCTTCACCCACTTTTCTGTTGTCTGTCCCCCAGGGAGGAGGTCACATGTAGATCCTTGTAATCGGTTCCCCCTTTCCAACCCACTCTCCCTCCACCCTCCAGCAGTTATCACCACTCATACCACTGGTCCTGAAGGGATCATCCACCCTGGATTCCCTGTGTTTCCAGTTCCTATCTATACCAGTGTATGTTCTCTGGTCTAGCCAGACTTGTAAAGTAGAATTGGGATCATTGCAGTGGAGAGGTGGGGTGGAAGAAGCATTTAGGAACTAGAGGAAAGTTGTATGTTTCATCGTTGCTACATCGCACCCTGACTGGCTCGTCTCCTCCCTGAGACCCCTCTGTAAGGGGATGTCCAGTAGCCTACAAATGGGCTTTGGGTCTCCACTGCGTACTCCCCCCATCATTCACTATGATACGGTTTTTTATTCTGATGATACCTGGTACCTGATCCCTTCAACACCTTGTGATCGCACAGGCTTCTTCCATGTGGGCTTTGTTGTCTCTGCTAGATGGCCACTTGTTTACCTTTAAGCCTTTTGATAGGCGGGCACCATCAGATTTTTTCCTTCCTTTTGATGTGTGCATTTATTGGTATAAATTCTCCTCTGAATCCTGCGTTTGCCGAGCCCCAAAGTTTTGGTATGTTGTGCTTTCATTCAAATTTGTGGTTTTCATTTCTTCTCTTACTTAGGTTTCAAGTAAGGTGTTACTCAGATGGCATTTAATTGTCTCCCTGTTTATTCTGTTACTGATTTCTAGACTGTTAGCTTTATGGCCAATGACGATGCTTTGTGTTTTTTCAGTATTCGTGAAACTATTGAAGCTTGCATTTGTGGCCTAACACACGGCCTGTTCTGGAGTAAGCATCCCTGTGTTTCGGAAGATTGTGTGCTGTGCTGCCGTTGCTGGTGTGGGCTGCATGTGTCTGTGAGGTCAGGTTGGTTGAGGGAGGCCTTGCCGGGCATGAGTCCGCCCAGCAAAGAAGAAAAGCATTCCAGGTCGGGGAAACGACGGTCACCAAGACTCGGAGACAAGAAAAGGTCGGCTGTGTTCTGGGGCCACTGAAGTCCCCCCTGTGGCTGACCACATCTGGTGGTCTCGGAGGACATGGGCACATATGATGAAGGCCTTCACAGAGCAGGCCCAGAGTAAAGAGCTGGACTTGATCGACTGTAAATAGAAAGGAGGGGCTGGGTCCCCGGGGGTCCATGTGGAGGGGAGTCACAGGCCCCTTCTCCAAAGGCGGACCTCTCCCCTCTCCCCACCCCAGCACGGTGAGGACACCTTCAACAGGGCCAAGCTGCTCAACGTGGGCTTCCTGGAGGCACTGAAGGAGGACGTCTCCTATGACTGCTTCATCTTCAGCGATGTGGACCTGGTCCCCATGGACGACCGCAACCTCTACCGCTGCGGTGACCAGCCTCGCCACTTTGCCATTGCCATGGACAAATTTGGCTTCCGGTGAGGGCTCTGTTCTTCACTGCACCCAGGCCTGCGCCCC